CCCAGTTCTTCACCCCTAGGATGGTAACTCTTCATTCTGCACAGACTCCTGACAAGCCTGAAGTGGATCTACCCCAGGTATCCCTCCACAACCTCTAACCTGCAGGCTGCTCGTACCACCCTGATGGAACTGGGGCCTGCAGGCACTTTACTGCCTCATCTTTGCCCAGGCATGATGGGGATCCTCTGAAAGAGCCATCTCTCTATCTTTGTCTTTCTGCATCTGCACTTTGGAAGAAAATCAATATTGCTGTTTGTTGCTAAATTGTCAGACAGCTTTTGATGCTAATATCTGATGAAGCAGACATGCTGTTGTAGATAGTTACTCTCAAACAGGTTCTCTGTCATCTACCATCTGCTTTTAAAGGGTCTGTTTTTTCCCTTTTTTTCTAGTGACTAATGGTGCATTTAACCCCGGAGAGTCTCTGATCTGAACATCAGACAGTTTCCACTGCAGAGGAACAGAAAAAAAGGAGGTGAGGGAGAGAGGGTGGGTGAGCTTCCTGTTGTTCTAACTTGGCTTACTGGTAGGGTTCTCAAATCAAATTAGGGATCTCACCACTTGGGGCAGGTACCACTCAAACCCTTGATGAAGCTGCCAGATGGAATCACACCCTGGTTTGGAGTCTTGAGATAGAGCAGCATAGCCCAAGGGGAGCCAGGTTGTGTCTCTGGCCCATGTGGACAAGCCCTCTCAGCTCTCTGTCCACCTGCTCCATCTGTACCAAGACATTAACAGCACCTTCTTCATAAAGCAGCATTAGTTCTACAGATGACAATTGTGGGGATGGGAGGCCTTCTGTTTGCTTTGGCAGCCTCAGAGATGAAAATTTACAAGGCACCAAGGAAAAGTCCTGTGAAAAGGGCACAGGTTCTTCAGTGTTTGGGTACAGGATCATCCCTGAGGGACAGACAGCTTTACAGAGATATCAAGTGTGATTTCTGGGAACACAGCAGAATTCCGCAGTACCTGAAAGATATGGAAAGGAAATTTCATGCCATAGTTTTTCAACACTGGGTTGGCTGAACTGGGATTTCTGTCCAGGAAAGTGTTGGACAGAATGGTTCCCTCAGTTCCTGCAGGTGCTGTGTGGGCAGAACTCTGGCACAGCACTGACAGTGTAACTCTGCTGTGCCAGTGACTGCACAGCTATCCAAGGTGCCAGTGCTAAAGAGCCCTAGCCACTGTGCTTGAACCAAAATGCACACTGGATTTGGTCTCCAAAGCCAAAAGGCCCATTGCCTTGATCCATTAGAGATGAGTCTGGAAAAGCAAAAGGTTTCTCTGCAATTACAGTTTCAATTTACAGATTTTCCTGAATCTTTTGGTGCACTAGACCACTGCACAGAGCAGTGCTTTGATGAAGGATCTCGGGGCTGAATCAGCCCTTGTGTTACACAGACAGGGCGGAGGGCAAACAACTCTGGAAACTGAGCAAGCAGGAGAAATGGAGGAAACAAGGTAACTTATAAGAACTGAATCACAATCTCCTGGTTGAAATCGTGTACCTCTTTGTGAGGTACTATTCAATTCTCAGAACTGAATGAAAGCAAGGGAGGTGGAAAGTGCACCAAAGGGGAAGACATTTTCACAGTATAAGCTGATTAAGGCTGAATTACTTGGAGTACACAATATAAATAATTGCAAAATCCTAGAATGTTGCTCTCCCAGAAGCCCCTAACTTCTATGTCTTGCTTTTCCAGTCTCCAGGGAGCAGCATAATAATAAATGCTGTTTAGACAGCTCAGCCTGTGTGCCCATGCAGTGCTGAAACCCTCATGGCAGCTGCGGGGCTCAGCCCAAGCGGTGCCTCTCTCTCCATCCTTGCTACCAAGTTTTCCAACCCTAGGCCATGAAAATAGCTTGGCATAAAAGAAAACAGAAACCTCTAACAGGTTTATAGGCATTTTTCCAGCTTTGGCATCTATCTCCACTTAAAGTTTGTAGGCTCAAGTCTGCTTTGTGTGTGTTCCTACCCCCTTGCAAATTGTGCTGCCAGAGCTGTCTGAGCTGCAGCAGGACCGATTGACAGCTTTGCCTCCAGCCAGATTTCTGATTCAAAGCAATATCCAATTCTGTGTAATAAAGTTTGCATGAAATTTTTACCTGCAACAATTCCCCAATGTGCTGAACTGCGTGATACCAACTTATATAACACATCATTTTTGCAGCAGAGTTAAACAAAACGCAAAGCCAGACTCAGTTTGATTTTTCTCTCGTGATCACAGACATTGTACCACATCTGAGAGCTATAAGCCATTACCTCCATCATTTTTTAGTATATAAACATCAAATACAACAAGTGTTTAAATCAAATCAAATGTTTAAATGTAGTCTTTTAAAAATATTTCAACTACAAAAATTAAAAATTAAAAAAAAATGCTTTCAGGTAAAAGATTGGAAGCATGTGAAATATTGAAAAGGACTGCCTCAATATTATTGAAATATTTTAGATTTTTAGAAAATGAAATGTTAGAATGGAGAAATTTCCATAGACAATTGGTTTAGATGAAAACATGTTTTCTAACAGAAAAATATTCCATTGAAAAAATTTCCAATTGCATTTTCTAGTGGGCAATTTTTCAATGACATTTTCAAAAGAACAATCTACATCTGAGAAATTTTCCAACAAGCTCTCATGAGCTCTTAAAGGCAAGAAGAAGTAGTTTTCAAATAATCCATTTTGAAAGGCAGTTATTATTCTGTGTTTTACGCCTTTTACAGCAAAAGCAGCAGACCAAGCACAGGGCAGTTTCCAGACTTTCCGTTACCTCCTTTCTACCTTAAAATACAAATGACTGAGAAATGTTCCCAGATACTTTAATTAAGAACCATGAGTAATTTTAAAATGGATTGTGCTGTAAATGTTGCTTACCTTCGGTAGAGATACACACCTGGGATCCAGACACGGCTGTGTCAGAGCTGGGCCTGAGCTCTGGTGTCCAAGCATGGCTTCCAGTTCAAGTTCAGGTCTGCATCTTGATTTTCTTCTTTATTAGACTGATTTAGATTATAATCTGAATTTTTGTGGTACCTGCAAGTCCAGTTATTGATCCCAAATCTCATAGCAAGCACTGTCTAACAGTACAAAACCACCCAAAGAATAACCCAACACAAAACTTGTCCCATCCTTACCCTCTGATGAGGTCGGGTAAAGAATCTGCCTGGGATTCTGCTGTGACACTGTTTACAGGAAACATTTACATTTCCAATTCCCCTTTTGTTTTCCTTATTATTGCTCCCAGTTTTTCAACCACACAATCCCTCCTGAAGCTGACTATGCCTGGCTGGGCATTTGTGCATTTGAGCCCAGGTTTGTGTATACGGGATGTGTATGTGAGGAGGGAAGTGGCTGGTGGCTTCAAGTGACACCTCACAAGCGAGATTTAGCAGAATTGAAAATACCACAAGGATCTACAGCCCAGGTTCCCAGTTTGCACTTCAAATCTGCCAGCTCAGGACTTGGAATCCACACTGAATCCAGCACTCTGACATTTAGGGAAAATCATGGCCTCTTTTCAAGATTTGAATATATTTCAAAATATGCAGAGGTTGATTTCCTCCAATTCAGAGGGACAGCACTTAGATCTAGACCAGAACCACCTCCCAGTCAGTGTAAACGACAGTGGCCTCTTTCACTTTGTGGCTGTTCTGCAGCTCAACTCTGGGTACAGATCTGCTCTGAGTTCACACCCAGAAGTCAAGAGGGAGTAGAGTTTTCAGTCCTTCTCCACTGTCACAGAGAGATGAGGGTTGTGCAAGCTATGGCACACAGCTGTGTCATGAACTTCACTTGACAGGGTCTGGTTGCTTTGCATCACATGAGTTGACAACCACAATGCCTTACAGCACCTGCAGAGCTGGGAATTTACAGATGTACTCGGATACAGAGAAGAAAAGACTGTTCCATGTATTCATTCCTCTCTTGTTTCACAGAAATAATTAGATCTCTTGTTCTCTGCCACAATCTCTAGTTCCACTTTTCCCATAAGGTGGTTTAGCTGTCCTAAATTACAGATCAAAAAGCTAAATGCTAAAGGCCAGGCTAATTCTCTTGTTTCTCTGTGTAGTCTATGAAAACCCCAGACAATTCAGAGGGCAATTCATCTCACCCTTGGATAGCCATCTCCAGTAAGTCAGACAAACAGCTCTTTGGAGGTGTATCTCTGTTCATTGCAGAAGGAACCTCCTCCAGAGTTTGACATATGCCTTTCCTGTGCCGAAAGTGCAGTGGGATAAATCACATCCACAGCTGTTGCCCATGTACAGAGGGCTCAGACATAAAGCTGTGGTGAGACAAGATCACTGCAGAAACAACCGTGGCAGCCTGAGATACTCCATCCCCTCAGCCCCACCAGCCATCTGTTCCAGCCATTCCAGCAGATGGTACTGATCCCTGTGGCACAGCCAGTGGGACATGGACATCCTCCACGTTCTGTCCGGTGAGCAGTCAGCTGGTTGCTCCTGGAGGCATCTGACGCTGACCTGGCTGAACTTTTTGCTGAAGCAGCTGAGAAATGTTCCTACAGTCCCTCCCATTGTTCAGCTGTGGACTCAAAAGCTCTCACAAGAGGGGCAGGAACAAACCACAGGCAGCTGTTCCGCAAGGTTGGATTATCAGGACACTAGGAATGAATGCAAAATGCTCCTGGAAGGCTTAGTTCTTCCAACTGATATTTTCTTATTTCTGCTTGAGCTACAGAGGATCTCTGAAGAATTATCCAATTTGTTCTATATATACCCCAACTGGTTGTTGTTCTTTGCCCTGGAGGGAGTTGCAAATTGTGTGTGCAGCCCATACTTTCTGTAAGGAGATTGCACACAGAAGTATCCCCTGCTTGCACAGTCCAAGCAGATGGCACCGGGCAGGTAAAGAGCTATTCTCTGAGAACTGCCAGCTATGAACAGCCTTTCAAACATTAATAACTTGAGAAACACGGTAGCAGAAATTAGATGTAAAGCGACGTAAATTACTTCCAGAAGGTTCCATTAGTTAAAAAATGATGTGCAGAAAAGCACAATCCCACAAGCCAACAAGGACTGATCTAGTCTAACTGAGACACAACCACAGCATCAGGAGCTCATTGCAAAGACAAGGGAGCAGCTAATCTAGTGAGGGCAACCAGGCCAGATGTTTGTTTGGATTCTGATTGTATTTTCTTGCCAGCTGCTGTGCACCAACCCGCAGCCCCAAGATGGGGGACTTGGGACGAACACAGTAGCAGAGGTAAATTTGTTATTAAATGCATCTTAAAGGGAGGGATATGGCAAGGAGGGAAGGATCTGAGGACAATGGGATGTACAACTCTTCATCTGTAGGTCAATTTTTATTGCATTTCAGATCAGCAATTGCGCAGGTCGTTATTATCGGGTCAGTTTTATTGAACCAATTTGGCAATCTCAATACAGCATCTAATGCATAGAGGAAGGATGTTAAAAGACTGAAGAAATTTAGGAGTCTGAGCCCCACTCCTGATCAGTGGAGCTTAAACTCTCCAAGGACTTAAGTGCTTTTGAAAATGGGACGTGGTCTCCTTAGTCATGTACACACTTCTGAAAGAATTCTCCTCCTCGGCCCCAGCACAGCGTGGTGCTCGCTGGTCTCCTCGCTGTCAATCACGGCCCAGAGGTCAAGGACTGAGTGGTTCACAGCAATTACTGGCTTATGAAATTCTCCTTTTCTTCCTCTCAGAACAGTCCCTCCTGTTGAGAGCAGGCGTGTTGGCAGGCAATGATGTAGAGAAATATTTCAGTGGAGAAACAGAGAAACCTGTTGTCTGGAGGAAGCACCATCGTATTTTCCACAAGTAAGAAAATTTTAAAAATTGAGAGATGTACAAATGAACATGATGCAGAGGCAGGGATAAACTAAATGAGACACTGGCAGATCTGGAAAGATCTGATGTGCCACTGGGACAGTGGAATCTATTTTCCTACAAGTGCCAGGACTACAAAGGAAACCTGCAAGACTTAAGTAAAACTGGAGCTTTCATTTTAATTAATGCCAGGAAGAATAGCTATTTTCTTCTCTTCTGATTAAAATGGTTATGGAGAAACAAGGCTACAGAGCTGCTCCAGCCATCAGTGGTTGTGTTGCTGCTGCTACCAACCAACCTTCAGCTTCCTCAACTGGGTATGTTCAGAATCTCACCTCGGGGTGTGGGGGGGGCACATCTCAATTTCATATCCTGTAGCCCAATTCCCACGTTTTTTTCCTCTCAGATTCCACTTATTTGGTCTCACCAGATGTTTTCACCGAGCCAAGTGAGATCTACATTTTTAACGTAATAAATTACCCCCATCTCCCTCTCAGTATCTTTGTCCTCACGGGTTAAACAGCTGCTGTCCCTCAGGAGATGCTGGTGGATCAGGAGTCGTGGCGGTGGCTGTGGCCTGACCCACAACCTGGATCCCAGCACCCGAGACACTGCTCCAGTTCCATTCCATACACGCATCCTGCCTGCAGAAGTCCTCAGCCAGTGAGGGTGAAACAGGAGTGAGCTCTGGGCACCTAACAGAGAACTCTGGGAGCCCCTGCTCCACCTGGATGTGTCCTTTGGTCGCCAAAGAGTTCCATTTTACCTGTTCTTTTTTTACAGCTGATCTTCATCCACCCAGATTGTTTTACGCTGCTCTTCCCCGATCCTGTCTTTTATTATTCGGATGAGATCCTCAATGCTGCTCCAAGCATCTGCCTCCACAGAGGCATAAAGGCAGGGCAGTGCTTCCAGCTCTTTCTCCTTCAGACGGCACAGACGTAAAAACTCATCCTCAGCCTCCGGCTTGGGCAATAGTTTCCTGTATCAAATGAGCAGACCAAAAATAAATGTCTTACAGTTTAAGTTAATCCTGCAGTCCCAGCTGTCCCATCAAAAATTTATTGTCTACTAACTGTGTACAAGCAATAAAAGCAGTGGAGAACACAGCTACTCCAGGCCTACCCTCCCCTTACCTCCACGCTGCCCCAAGGAACAGTTTTTGCTTATGGGGAAACAATTTAAGAGGATTGAATGGAGGAGAGTGCAAGTGTTTACAACCTTCCCTCTTCCAGCCAGCACTACCTTAAGAAATGCTGTGGGAGTGCTGAGCACAGAGAAAAACACATATTCTTCGGTCTCATCCTCCCACAATGCTCATTGCTACCAGTGACAGTGAAAGAGTGCTAGATTTGGGGAATTCCTGCTTTCTCCTGTTGTAAGATTTCAGGGAGGAGTCATGGGAGGAAACAGTGCACATACATTAAGAGAGATGAGGTCCTTTATTTCTCTCAGTGAGAACATTATTGGACTCAAGAGTTATTCACCGAATAAGATGGAACATCAAATATGCAAAAGGTTTGATATGTTACCTGAACCTCTTGATGTTTTTCTCTGAGACTCTGATAAAGAGAACAATAGGATATATCTTGGCTTTGATTAAATCCTTTGTGCAGCTTATTCCAGCCTCCAGGAGACAGTGCTTGTTCTAAAAACAAAGTCATAACATTGTCACAGAGGAACATTCACTGCTGTGAAATCTCATGGTAAAGGTATCCAACCCTTATGGGGTCAGCTGGAAAGCTCTCTATTTACCATTGTACTGATTTAAAACCTTTTAATCAAATATAGATTTAAAGTCCAACTCCTCCTACTAGTTTAAACTACTCAGACAAATAACAGCTGAGCTTAACAGCTTTTTAAAAAGGTTTAAATAGAAATGATTTGTTCTAAAGATGAAAAGTATGATAAAATACCAGTTTTACATATAGACACAAACACACACACTTGCTTTTTGTTCAGAAAGAACATCTACTGCAACTACTTGTAAGAGAAAAAACCATCACTTTAATTCTCCTTTTTTTCCATGCTGTGCATCAAATCTACTCTACTTGACATCAGATCTCTGTCTTTGGCATTGTTATCTTTGTTCTGAACACCCTTGTGTCTGGGTTTCAGGCTTTCCTTTCCTTTGTCTAGGTCCTCGTATCTCTTACTCTCTCGTGTATTCATGTGTGCTTACGATACAAAAAGGAAATGAATAAGGGATGGAGCATAGAAAACGAAAGGATATTTTGCTGCATCAATGTGGGTCATCACAGGGAATGAGCGAGAATATAAAAGGATACGGCTGAGGATGGAAAAGAAGAGGAGAAGCCAGAGCACAAATAAAAGCCACTGGGGGGAATAAATACAAATCTGAGATTGAAGGTGGGCAAGAGAGAGAACATGCAGCTGTAAATTGGTGCAGAGAGGTGCACAGCCAGCCTAGTGAAGGGACACTGAGGACTCTGCACACCTTGGCAGTGACAGCCTCGATATTGGCAGGTACAATACATTCATACGTGTTCAGATTCTTTTCTCTGCTGAAGATGACAGTCTCTGTCCTTTGCTTCCTTAAGAACTCTTCCTTTGTTACAATATCTAGAAAGAGATGTGAATGGGGACAAAATCAAGTTTACAACAGCAGAACACGTAGAAAACTATCCAATAACACTTCACCCAGGATGCAAGGATGGTTCAGGGAAGGAAGAAGAGCAATGAATTGTCTTAACAGCTGCCTCATTTCTTCCATTGAATTCAATTAAAGCCTAATCTGATCACAGCTGAGCATCTCAGCTATATCCTGCACCAATGAGTCCATGGGCAATTACTACAGCACTATGAAGACATTAAATTAAAACAGTAAATACAATTCCAGCACCTAATGTTATATAGCAACAGTTCAGGGATGGAGGATGCTGAGAAGTGCTAAAAAAAGGAGGTCTCTTCAGCACAAGATCCTAAAGCAGGGATTTAGTGTTCCAACATTTGTGTTTAAAGTTTCAAAAAAATTTGGCTTAGGTTGCAATGTGTGATACCGGCCCCCTTGTGAATTGCAGCTCTACATCAAAGCTTTTGTTTTATGTTGCAAGACAGGGGATATTTATTATAATACTTAACTTCTCAGCTTCTGTGCCTGGATGACTGTAAGGCTGCACTCTATGAGGTGGGTATTCAATATTAGTGTAAAAATGAAACGTCAGCTCGGTTTAATGCTGTGTTGTGTACAATCCTGCCCTCCAGCCATCACGGTACTGCTATTGCTTTAATAGTAAATACTTAGCATGGAAGAAAATCAGTCTTTCGAGTAGATCAAATGCACAATCTTCACAGCTTGGATGAGACAGAAACCTAAAGTCGCTCTAGGGAAGATATTCCTCATAATAGCAAATACTAGAAACGAATTAATCAAAATTTCACATTGCCTAGATATGCAGTATGCAAACTGTATGCAAACAGAAAGAGCACTCGCAGCATTTCAGTCTCTGAGGGGCAGCCTAGCAACCACACAGCATACACATGGATAATATTTATAGACACAGAATCTCATAACCATGTGCACTGGCTGTCTCAAAAACATTCAAATATCTCAGATAGTCTCAAAAAAAGCAAGATTTACAGCTACACATCACTCTGATGTGACTTGAAGTACCTCAAGCAACTCTCCCACGCTCATGGCCCTACGTGTGTGCGCATATATATGTTCGTATTTCCAGCACTGAGGGTGGCAGTCATGGCCCTCTTTTATCCCGTTACCTGGCTTGCATATGTTGAATTCCAGGGCACCTCCAGAGTTGAGAAGCTTCTGTACCAAGGGCTTGGCAAGCATGGTGGGGGTGAAAAGCACTGGGCGCCTGCGCTCACAGTGGATGGGTCTCACCAGGCTGTAGGGGATCAGACTGAGCTTCTTATTGATTTCACTTTCAGAATCCAAATCTGAGTAGAGAACAAGACATTCATCCTCTGGTTTCCCCTCCATCAATATTTGGAGAAAAAGAAGGAGAAACACATGAACCAGAAATAACATGGTCAGTCATACTGGTCCTCCTTTCCCTTTCACCAGGGTCATCTTTACTATGTATGCAGCAGTATGATGTCCAACCTAACACTAAGTAATTTAAGTGCCTTTTGCTTTCAAGAGATTATTCCATAATCTCTTCAACACGACACTTGCTTGGGGCCTCTTTCTGCTTCTTAGTTTGACTTTCAAGGTTTTTGAACAGAAAAGCAAGAAAGCACTTAGGAAGAACTTCCAGCCAAACAGGAAGTTTCAGTGTCCTAAACTTGCTCATGAAGGCTTAGTGACCCAAGCTCTTGTAGCAAAATCAGTGCCATGTGTGTAAAAGCTATTTTATGCCCATACCTTCTAGTTTCTCAGGCAACTGCTTCTTTGCTTCCGATGAGGTCCGTGCCAGACCGGAGGGCCAGCCGGTGACGATGCGGACGCGCTCGTTGCTGTTCATACGCTTGTATTTGTTTTCAGACCTACTGACAAACTGAAAAGGTGAACAATAAAAA